AAAAAAAAAAAAAAAAAAAAATAACAAGTAAGGATGTTGGATCTTTTAAAGTATCAGCAAAAGGGAAAAATATTTGTGTGTTTAATTCTCTGATGCTTTCCATGCTCTAGTGCCATCCCAAAGTTGTGTTCTAGTTTCCGTTCCCTCCCCTTGGGAAAGGAAGTTCAGGCAAATCTGTGATCAACTATTAACAACTATTCACAATCATATCTGAAAGGGAACAGTCAATGACTTATCATTGTATCTCAAAGGTAAATTTGTTGTCTAAATGCCTAGGGGTAACTTGCAGATGAAAGTAACATAAAGCACTGATAAAAAAGAAGATTTGATAAGAATGAGGAAAAAAGAGATTTTCTTTGTTTTTTCAATCAAAAAGTTTGTTCTTTCTTTCCACAAAATCATGAAATTGTGAAAGCTGGCTGGAGCACGGATGGGAAGTGTGCATCAAATTCATGTAACTATACGACATACTCCTGCCCTATACCAGTGTCGTTCTGCCACCTCTATGCCATTCTATAAATGTCCCATTAACCATAGCATAGCTTCTAGCATAGTTCTAATTCCTCAATGAAGATCACAAGAAAGGTACTTCCAGGTTGTTAAAAGAAACCAGAATATTACACAAACACATTTCTGGGGTGAAAGGAGACTACTTAAACTCCATATTTATTGCTTTACACTACAAGAATTAAATAAAAAAGGCAGAGACTAGAAAATCACTTTTTGAAATTTCACAATCACCAATTTGCGACAGAAATTGAAACATAACACTTATACTAACAAATATGTTAGATGAATTATCACCTTAGCACATAACTGCAGATGGATACTCCTGGATTTTCACTTAATCCATTACTGAATGATGAACACTATAAAATGAAAGGTGACATACTTATGAACTAAAGTCACAAGAAGAAACTTTCCAAGATCAATCTTAAATGAGCTCCTATTCCAATAAGCCATAAAGAGCAGTAAAAGGCAATATTCGTTTAACAGTACAAGAATCTCGATGACAAGAAACCAGGTATTTATATTTCTCTAGAGACATTTCTTCCCCACCTAACAAAGGCACTTGACATGTACTGAAATGGTCAGTTAATTCAGATACTGCCCTGGGCAACTGTTACCTTCCTAAAATTAGATGAAGTGGTGATTAAATTCAAATTAGTTCTCCCAAATAAGCCTGAAACACACATGAATATATCATAAGTTCTCTATTTTTGGCAGATGATATAACCAAAGAAGAAAAGATAATGTTGGTGTCCATGCTGAACTGGCTGACGAGCAGTCAAGGATACTCTCTTTGTATATCCCTTGATGACTATGGAATGTGTATATAATTATAGGCAAATTAACCTTTCTTATAGTTTCAGGTATTAATGTTCACTCCTCTTCTTGTCTTTTCTTACTTTTTTGTTCTTTCCCAAAGCCTTAGATGATTCCTCCTAAAACAGACACAATCAATACTGCTGTTAAATCTAATCACAGAGACTAT